ACAGTGAGTGCTCGGCTTAAGCTTCGTATATCACATTTGCAATATTTCATTATTTCAAATATTTAGGAGGGCCCTAAATATTAGCCAGGCTTCTACGATAAGCTGGAAGTTTCACCCTCTATGAAAAGAGTTGGTCGGAATAGTTTCTATTTAAAGAACACACAAAAAATGATACAAATAAATAATAAATTTAACATCCATTCAATAACTTCACATTGTAAATATAATGTACAACTTCACTTACAGCTATAAAGTAAACTTTGTAGATAGAAAAGAAATGTATACTGTACATTAAAGATGCACTGTCTGGCATGCTAACAAATTAAAATATTAAATTTAAAATATACTTGAAATGCTTTATCTGTATATTTAAGTAAGTTCTTAACATATAATAAAAGACTTTTAAAGTTAAAATTCAGTTATAATTACATATATGTCATGACATGTGTACATAATCCATAAAGGGTACAATACAATTCATATTTCTGCATGATACACTTTTTCAACCAAATGGTGGATTTTACGAAAGATTGTGCTGAAATGTACAAATGGCAGTGGAGCACACACACAAAATTTCAAAAAGAATATACATACAAGTGTTCATATATGCATCAATATCTTGTTCCATCAAAATTCTTGTTACAGTGTGTGCCATAAAAATATATCCCCTCTATCATATCAATCACTTCTTAAATTCTGTGGTTTGTGATGGTAAACATCATTTAAAGCACAGGCGGGAAAAGTGCGGCCCAACAGCGTTTTTCTTTCAGCCGGCGCGACAACGAATTAAAAACCCTATGTTTGCGGCCCGCCAAGGAAAATTGGCTAGAAAACACCGCTCTTTTACAGCCCGACACTGATCATATGTAAAAAGTAACATTAAATCTGAGAATAAAGTAGTGTATAAGCAGTGCTTGGAGGTTTTTGGAAGCTCATTGAAAACATCAAATTTTGGGTTCGGCCCAGAGTGTTAAATCAGAAATTCACTTTGGCCCTCCAACCAATTTTTATGCCCATCCCTGATTTAAAGGGTCTAAATTCCTTGGTGAATATCTAGGTTGTTCTTGAAACCTACTTAATCTCTATCTATAATGTGAATATATAGCACTTTAAAACAACCATGATTTGAAAAAAGTCCACAGATTAATTTGTTTTTTTTTAATTATCTCGTGGAAAATACAGTATTAAGCTTAATTGTCCATTCAATTTTATTAATATTGTACAAAGACTTATACACTAAATGGAAGTGGTTTGGCACAGCGGGAACAATTTTGTAACTGCAGATATACTCTGCTGTGTACCATTAAGTTATTCACTAACTTTACAGATTAGATATTTGCATATTATTTAGTTCAGGTGATGTTTACCACAGTTGGCTCTAGTTTTCCTTTGTTCTGCTCAGTAGCAGTGAAGCAGTAATTGAGAGAGCATCATTGTTTTACCAGTTCTTACAGTATTATTTCTTGTTCACTGTTTAGATCATCAATTATCACTTTTATGCAGCTTATACAGTATTGTGAATATTACTTACCTGGATTATTATTTACCTTTGGATTTATGTTGATAATATTACATGTATTGCTTACCTGGAATTATACTTATTTACAGTTTCAAGATGGTGGAATTAAAAGGAAGTAATTCATATATTTTGTACATGATTTCAATTGTTAACTGCGTAAATACCCTTTCTCACTGCAGCTACTGACACTAATTGATAAGTTTCAATTATAAATTTAGTTTGCCAACCTCAAGTTTGGGGTTTTAATCCTTCTCACTGTGTATTTCACTTGTGTTCTTGGGCAAGGCATTTTATCTTCATTGCTTCTCTCCACCAAAGGTGTATACGGTAAGTGGGTACCTGGTAGGGTTTAATGCCAAATGCACTGATGTTGCAACAATCGAATACCCTAGGAAGCTTTAGTTCTTCTTCAATAGACGTTTAATCCAATGACCGCGGTATTAAACGATAATGTGAAGCCCATACAGGGCTTAACAATATGCGCTATATAAGTCTACCATTAGTATTATTATTATTATCAATAAAATTAAGAGCTTTAGCATTAAGTGATGCTGGTACAACAGTACATATTAAAACACAGACGTTAATAAACACATTTACAGTTTTAACTAATTTAAACAATATTATGTATATTTGATATATTAAATACTGTCCAAAATTATTTGAATTATGACATAGGCTAAACTTTACAGTTGGCATCCCAACATTTAATTAGAAAAAACTGAGATTGTACATGGATGCCTAATTTAAAACTCATGACTGGCTGTCCCTAGTTACCAAAATTTAACATTCTTAAACTCATCAAGTTCAAAATCAGAAATTTTGCTCAGTGCTAAAATGTTCACATTTCATGTGAGTGATCAGAAATTTAATGAACATACAAGAATTCATATTTTCCTTCAACATGGGTAGAATTATGCATTTAGTTGATGAATCTTAGTGCCTTATATTTGTCTATGTCAGTTAAAGAAGCACCTGCAGAATGCAACATTGATCTGACTTTCTTCCATTCAATTTCAAATTCTTTATTTGACATTCTACTGTCGGGGGAATGTGCCAGCTTTGTGTTCCTGTAGTTGTGGATGTCTACCAAGTTAACCAGTCTATGTGGGTTTTTCCAAAAAGACTCTGGAATGCCATTGGAGCAGTTACGAATTATTAAATACATGATGGAGATATCAAAAGTATCAATGTCAGCAGATGCTGTGAACATTTTAGACCTCTGCTCTCTACTGATATTTTTCATTACTTTATTAAAGCTACCCTTTCTCTTCTCGGAGAGTAGATAATTCCCAACATCGTTCTTGTTAATATTGTTAACCTCCAATATGTAATTTCTCATGGTTGCAGTTCCAACATCAACAACAGCCGATAACACAGCCTGAAAATTCTTGATTTCTTCAATGACAGTGTGCCCAATACCTATTTCTGGTCAAAAATGAAATGAAAATTTAAAATAATTTGGAAGAGTAAGTTTAATTAATTTCAATTTGTCACATTTACAATTATGCCTTTAATACACAACTTTCATTTAGATTTTATTGCATATCATCAGCAAAATCAGCAGCAGCAATAATAACATCAGCAGCAGCAGCAGAAAAAATCAGCATCATCAATAGAAACAGCATCAGTGTCATCAGTAGCAGTGACATTAGTCGAGTTTTTTTGCTGATTTAAGTGTAGTACTAGATCATAAGTGTCATGGGTACAAAGTTATATACTGCGTCCAGTCTTTTGCCGTCGGGGAGAAAAACCACAAATTATTGGGGAAAAAAATTATGTATTTTTTACATATCAATTGACTCTAAAATTGATTAAATAAGCCTTTGAAACCTCTAAATAATAGTCATATTTTTGGGGACTTCGACACTTGGACTGTTTTGGAAGGATTTTAGCAACGCCCGACCACACCCACTTTGTTCTCGTCAGGGACTTTGGAAAGCCGATCTGGGAAATACTGGCGCCTCAACTGGCTCAATCACCAAGCACATAAAGGCTTGTTTGCATGATAGGCTTTACAAACCTATTATTATTATTATTAATTATTAATCAGCAACATCAACAAAATCAGTAGCAGTAGCAACAGCAGCAGAATCAGCATCAGCAATAGAATCAGAATAGGTTGAAGTAAACTCGGTATCAGCAGCAGCATCTTCATCAGAAATATCAGCAGTAGAATCAGCTTGAGTAGCAGTAGACTCAGCATCAACAGCAAAATCAGCATTAACAGCAGCAGCAGCTATTATTAATAAGACTAGTTACTTACCTTCCAAGGCTCCATCCTTATAACATTTTCAGCTTTTGAAATTAATAATTTTCATATTCACTTCCATATATAATGACACTCCTCATCTAGCATTATGACCTCCGAGTTGTCTTTTCCACTGCAATAAAAGATAGAATTGAATACATCAGAGGTGGAGTCAAAACGATTTTGGCGGGTGTGGGAAGCACAAATAAATAGACTTATGGTCCAAGAGAGAGGGTTATGTTAGAGTGTTCCCCAAATTAAAATTTGAATACTGTATTCATTTGTTACTGCCAGTGAAGAAAGAATGATTTATCCTTTCGCAACCCCCCATCCACTGCATCCGTCACTAAAACATACAAGTATTGTAATCACATTCATTTCAATTAATGAAACCTGTAGCATTTGTACAGCATTCTGACTTACATTACAGATGAGATATTTATATATTTAAAATTTTAAGTGTTTCATTTATTCAATAGAACATAAATCAATATCTTAGCAACCGCTGTGTTTCCAAAATAAAATATAAAACCATTTTCATAAACAAATTATATTCTTACACCAACCTGTTGAAAAGAGTCGTCTGATACGAGCTGTTGTGACTAACTTTTTTTTTCCACATGGCACACTGTCTTTTTTCAAACATTCCTCAAGTTTATGCAGCGGTCGCAGCATAGGTTCACAGGCATGACAAAGGACACGTAACTCATAGCCGACTCCTTCTGTAGTAACATACACAGTTTTCAACTGCTGTCGAAGGTAACTTAATACCTGATAAAAATCAAATAAAATTATGCTGAACAATTTTTATGTTTGCATATGCAAGGTGTATACAATGTCAATTTTGTAGGTGTTTTAGGAATGCAACCAAGACCCCTAAATGGCGACCAGTCAATTCTTTTTCAGATTGTCAAAATAAAGGAAAATAGTAAAATTAGTCCAGACTATAATACTTTTCACAGTGAACAAGGCTAAATTTGATTATAAAGACATTGGATGCCCTACAACACTGAAGCTATGACCCAAATAGCTGTTCCCTTTGACCATATCAGGGACAATAAGCAACTCTTCTACCCCATTTGGTTGATTTTTGCAAACCCATGCACACTCCCCACTGAAATCTTGATTCCTTAAACATTAAGTAAAACCCCTTCACTTAGAACTAGTGATTTTCAAAACTTATAGCAAAGTTTGAAGCAAAGATGTTTTGAGCATTTGGTAAAAATTGGGAATCTGTCTCAAAGCATTAGCAGGCATGACAAATAAGATTTAAAAGAAGTAATACTAAAGCAAATTATAATAAAGTTGTTCATTGTCTCTTTAATTTCTAATTAAATTTCATCTGTATTCAGCACATTTTGTGTACCCACTTGTACTCTTTGGTGGAAGGAGACAACCACAGGTAAAGTAATTGCCTAAGGACACAAGCGAAATGCACAACGGGGGAATAACCCTCCAACCTCAAGGTTGAAATGCAGAACTGCAACTGCTGTGCCAAACTGCTCCTACATAATGACTAGATTTTAAAACAGAATTTGGTTACGGAAGCTTACCTCCATGCAGATGCTAGGATGTGGTTCAAGAGGTTCTTCTTTGCCATATTCATCAACTTTTATCCTATGTGAAATTTCAATCTGTTTATAAGACAACATACAAGATATTTTATTGGTCAATGTGTTCACTGAGAAAAGGTCATGGATGCACATAGTATAAATGAATGTTTGAGTGTAATGGGGTAGAATATTTCATGAGGTGAAAGATTGGATGTTCTATTCAACGAGGTGAATAGAACATCCAATCTTTCACCTCATGAAATATTCTACCCCATTACACGAATGAGAAACATTCATTATATGTTTTATACAACACCGACAGGATGAGCCTAGATGAATACTACAAGGACCCATCTTCCTTTCGAAGGACAGCATTAAACCATCCTAGGCTTAGGAATCGATCAAGTTCAGGTTCGGCTAATAATAGGCTCAAATCCTCACTGCTGAAGCTGGTGAAATACTCCATATGGTTAACTGTGCATGTTATTGCCTATTTTTTACATAATTATATATAATTTTATATATGATATATAATTTATAACATAATTCTACATTGTTATTACATTATATTATGTTTAAACTTCAGCATTGCATCTTACTTTCAATGCATGTCTGTTCTTGATTCTGACAGCTCCTAGACTCACAACATGCTCATCATCTAAGTAAAAGTCACTACGATTCCGAAATAATTCCACATGATCACCACTCCTACCTTTGTCATTCATCAAGTCTAAAAATGAAACGACCAGCACATTGTAGACAGCATCCGGTAGGAAGTCCGTGGGAGTCACATAAAACGATACCGTTTGCTGCTCGTCTTCCATAACTTTCAAGCCCTCTTTATTGATTTGCATCCGAGTGGGAACCATGAACATTCGGTTACCAGGTTGAGATCCCTTTGAAAACAAGAGCACTGATATGGCCTATTATGAATCTCAAGAAGTTTTAAAAATTAGAGGTAAAAGAAGAAACCATTAACAGAAGGCATGTTTGCACAGCGGTAAACCTTTGCAAATTCAAGATAGACTTTGGTCAGATTGCTTGTACCCTGGCAAGATACTTTATATACATTTGAATCTCTTCATCCAGGAATATGAATGAGGTGGTATGAAATTGGTAGCGCATTTTTAAGTGTTGCTGCCATATTAGGGCAGGAGCAGGCAACCACCATGAGGCACACTTTTATATTTCTTTGTGGAGAAAAACAACGTAAAGTTCCTTGCTCAAGGACACGAGCGAAATGGAGAGCAAGATCGGGAAACCAAACCGTTCCAGCTACACCGAACCGCTATAAATCCTGTAAAATATCGATAATGACAATTGTTAAAAAAGTGAGCACATATATATTATGAAAGGATTACTTCTGCTAAACGATTAGAGCCAGCTTACCTTTTGTTGCTCAAACAGTAACCCAAACATCTTCAGCAGTTCTAAAAATACTTCAAAGTTGCTGGCATCTTTTGCTATCTCATGTCGCAACAAATGATGTAGCAACTCTTCATGAAGAATTCCCTCACGGTCGAGCCTATACCACTGCTGCAGTATAGGCAGCTACAAAAAAATATGAACATATAAAATGCATGCAATTCACCATAATTGTAAACATCATAAAAATGATAAAAAAAATATTTATAGGAAATTGTTATATTGCTTACCTTGTCAATATCATCTGGTTTCACTACTGTGATGATTTTCGTCACGACGTCGATCATCATGCGCAAGTTTGTAATAACTGTGTACTTTAACTTCTCATTAGTCTTAGAGTACAGAATTATTCCAGTGTCATGCATTGGTTTAGAAATTCCACATACAGATGCAATTTCTGTGACCTTAAAATGTTGAATGGAAAGAGAATTCCATTCATACAAATGCAAAAAATATATTGTAGTCAGCTACCTTGCTTAATTTGACCCTTTTATACAATGGGTTAACCAAACTAATGCTGATTATTTCTTGCTTTATATATGTTGATTTCCCTCAAAGTTATTATTCTAACACTGATTGGCTCTTGCCTTATATGTTATATGTTGCCTTATATATGCACCCACCCCCGCAGACCTGGGCCTAGAGGGGACTTAATTTTCAAAACTGTTACATGCCTGTAAAAGTCCCTGCTACCTCCCGGCAGTGCGGGGCATTGTTTTAACGTATCCCCCGGCCAAGTCCCCACCACTTACCGCCGTAGTGCTGGTATAATGCCCCGCTAATAAATGATTGGATGATAAGGCCTACTTGAAGCAAGGAGGTATAAAAATCTAGTCTAAGTCTAAATCGGAGAAGCACATGAGAGCTAGGCCAAGTAGATGAGCTTGCTTGATGGAAGCACTACGCATGCGTCACTATGCAGCATGGAAGTTTGGAAAAGTGCGAACAAAAAGGTGACAGGTTGACAGATTGATCATAGAAAAAGAAAATAATGGATTGATTGAATAATAACTGATTGATAAAATTTAATTATTCAATATCAAAACAGAAATTAGGCGTAAATAAGAAAATGAATGCATTACAATAGTAGAAACAGGTTTCCTTGCCTTGGCTCACGTACTGGCATATTTTTGGTGCAACACACCCCGCTATGGCCCGGGTCCAGGATGGGGGGGGGGCAGGGACTACAATTTGCAAGT